ATATATATATATATATATATATATATATATGTATATTTATATTTATGTGTGTGTAAACCGACCACTCCAACCACTTCAGGAAACTGCTTTTTAGTTTTTATATTGCTTAAAAATATAAACTGCACCGTCCTGGACAAGAAAAATAAACTACCTCTGTTCTTCCACACATTGTAACTTCTAACCATTTGAAAATCCATCCGTCATCTTTACCCGCTTCTTCCTTTATGGGTCATGGGAATCACTTGTGTCCATATCCAGCAGTCTATGTGCGAGAGGCAGGGACACCCTGGACAGGTCTCTAGTCCATGACGGGGACACTTGGACAGTCTCAGTCCTTTACAGGGATACCTGGACAGTCTCAGTCCATCACAGGGACACCTGGACAGGTCTCCAGTCTGTCACAGGTACACATAGAGACAAACAAGACAAACAACCATTCACTCTCTCACTCACACCTAGAACCAATTTAGAGTTACCAATCAGTCTAACATGCATGTGTTTGGTCTGTGGGAGGAAACCGGGCAGCATGGTGGCGCAACTAGTAGAGCTGCTGCTTCTCAGAGAGCAGGTCCCTGGTTCAAACCCCGGTCCAGGGGCCTTTCTGGGTGGAGTTTGCATGTTCTCTCCGTGCATGCGTGAGTTTTCTCCGGGTACTCCGGTTTCCTCCCACAGACCAAAAACATGCATGTTAGGCTGATTGGTAATACTAAAATTGTCCCTAGGTGTGAGTGAGAGAGTGAATGGTTGTTTGTCTCGTTTGTCTCTATGTGACCCTGTGATGGACTTGCGACCCATCCAGGGTGTACCCCGCCCCTCACACTGTGATTGCTGTACATAGGCACCGACAACCCCCGTGACCCAAAATGGGAGAAGCGGGTAAAGATAATGGATGGATGGATGGATGGATGGATGGATGGATGGATGGATGGATGGGAAGAAACCGGAGTACCCGGAGAAAACCAACGCAGCATTGAAAGAACATACAATCTCTACCCAGAAAGGTCCCTGGCCAGGATTTGAACCGGCAACCTTCTTGCTGAGAGGCAACAACTCTACCAACTGAACCACAGTGCCGCTATTAAGAACATAAACATACAAAATGTACATAAGCTGCTAGATGTTACATAATCAAACCAGGAACATACATACATACAGACAAAAACTCTCCCACTTTCTACTCGGAACTAATCTCCACCATATGTCCATGAATGTTTGTGACAGGGCTGATGTGAACGTGTGTGACCAGTTCTTCTGGACGCCCCTTCACCACGCCGCTCACGCAGGCTATTTGGACATTGTCGATGTTCTGCTGAAAGCTGGGGCAGCTATAGATGCTCCGAGCCTCTGTGGAGGCACGGCCCTTGTGAGGGCCATCGAGAGCGCTAAACCCTCATGTGTGGACTTCCTCATCAGGGCTGGTGCCAGCGTGAATGCAAAGAGTATGAAAGGTAAGGATCAAAGCATGTGTAAAAATCATTACATTGAAATGTTTAAATTTGGAATATTATTGAAATGTGTATAAATATGTTATGGTCCTGAGAGTAATTGACCTGATGCACAACGTGTGAAGCTCAGACAATTGTAATTTAGACAAGAATTTAATCACAAAGCACTTGAACAAAATAGCATACTGGCAGCCATGGCTAAAACCATTTGTCTGCACCCTGGGTTCTACTCTCAACAAACATGACAGATCCAATACGATATTATTTTGTGACGTTTCCCTGTGTCATTTTGTATGAAAGTGTGTCTAATTAATTCATTTGCGCCCTCTAAGCTACTAATTGGTTGGGAGGGGCTTAAAAGAATCAAGCTCCACCCACTGGAGGAGTGAGTGAGGCCAGAGGAGAGATGTTGGTCTGATTTGTTGAGCTAATTGTTGGTGGGACAAAGTTACTGGCCGCTGATGTGTTTTCTGTTTTTGGTTGTAGGGTGAGTCTTTGAACCTTAAGGCAAAGAGAGCAGCCTGAATTTGACAGTCATCTGCTGGCTGGTTCAGTGCTTCTTCCTCTTTCTGTTGTAAGGAGCATGGAGGTAGAGTGAAAAAAATTGTATTTAAATAAATAAAACAAAAGCTGATGTGGCAGCAAAATATTCACAGACACAAACTTGAGGGAGAACAAACATAACTGCTTGACAGCACAACATAGAGACAACAAAAGAGGAAAAGAACACTGGTTTTAAAAAGAAATTAATGAAGGAGACATAACACCTGGGAGAGACAAGGAGGATCAGGTGAGAGTAGGAGGAGCTTAAATGAATGAACGGAAGGAAGCTGAAACAAGTAAAACAAGATGCCAAAATCACAAATACTTGAAAAATGGATGGTAAATGGACTATACTTATACAGCACCTTTCAATCTTATCCAGATACTCAAAGCTCTTTACAACACAATCTGTGTCCTCATTTACCTCCAACACACATTCATACAGTGGTCTACTACTACTACACACACACACACACACATACTCATACAACACTCTACTACACACATTCATATAGCACTCTACTACACACACATTCATACAGCACTCTACTACACACACACACACATTCATATGGAAGGATCAGCTGGTCTCTCAACAAAATCGATCAACAGGAGACAGGAGTCAGGGTAAGGAGGACCCTCTTACCTCGACGGAAACTAATTGGATTCATGATGACAACTAGATTCTACTGTTTGGGTTGGTGAAATCTTGGATTGTCTACAAATTTGTGTGGATGTGTCGAAGCTCGACAGTGCTCAGACTGAATTTGGAGAGCTGCTGCAGGGAGCTGGAGCAGGCTGTTATCAGGACTGTGAACTAATTGGCAGCACTCATGAATGGTGGGAATAATCTTGGAGAAGCTGTGAGCTCGACTTTTGGCATAAAGGATCAATTAGGCTGTTTTGGAGTTTCCATCAGAGTAATATGTACTAGCGAGACTTAAAAAAAGGCAAAAACAGCAATTCACAAGTTCTGCCTGACCCAAATTGTGGCCTTGATGCCGGACTTATCTCAACTCCTCCTGGAATGTTTTGAAAACAACAAAGATGCTTTGACTGTTTCCTCACCCCTCCCTTCCCCAAGGCCGTGGACATGTAACAGAACCTCAACTGAGCTGAAGATGAATGTCACCTCTTATCTGGACAGTGGCTGAGAGGGGGGGCTCTGGACTATGCTACGACTTTCCCTTAAAAATTCAATGTTTTCACTGGCCTATATGTAAATGTATAAAGTCTGTTTATGTTGCTTCGCTGTGGTAGGTTTTTTTGATGCCTCAAATCGTGCCCTGTCTAGGACACGGTGTGAGAGATCTTTTTTATTTATACCGTCTCTCCTCATGTTTTTCTTTCCTTTTCTAATCACTGTTTTTGTTCGTCCTAACAGGTCTCACTTGTAAATGAGTCTTCGAGGCTCAATGTGATTTATCTTTTTAAATAAAGGTTGAATGAATACAGCACTCTACTACTCACACACATTCATACAGCACTTTACTACACACTAGGCTGGGCGATATATATCGATTAAAAATATCGAGATGATTTAAAACGCGATATAAAATGAGACTATATTGTGTTAAGGAAAATCAACACAAAAACTCAGACTTTCCAGCCTATTCACATGTTCTTCTCATTGGTTCGGAGATGCATGGAGAAAAGATTCAAGTTAAAAAGTATTACCAACATTTATTAAAGCTTTCAGCTCAAAGGAGACGCTCTTACCCCAGACCAACAGAGATACAGCAAAAACCCAAGATGCATCTGACCGGAGTTTCACTTCTGTATTTAAGCACAAAAGCTCCACCCAGAGATGTGTCAAAACATTCTTTCAGTTATTTGTCTAAACTAGTTCAAACTAATGTCTTCATTTCTTGGAAGTCCTTTTATGGAGTTGTTTTATTATTTTCTTCTGCCGTTCCAGTTTACTGGTGATCTTGTCATCAGATGGGACACACACCAGCAGCTCCCTTTTAGTTCATGTCCCGTACACAACAAACTCAAATACATTCTCTGACTTAATTCAATCTGTACTTGTTGATACCAAAAGACAAGCAGATCCAAAAGCCAAGCAGATGCACATAAAGGACAAGATACAGTTGTGATACATCGAGCAATACAGCACAGCAGAGCGTCTTTACATTTTCCCCCTTTTGGTCTCTGAAAGACACCATTGCTCCTAACTATCCATCCCTGAATAGGTGTGCCTTTGCATGTCCTGGAAACCTCCCTGAGGCAGCTGTTCGTTTTAAGGAGGAAAGCAGGGCATTACCTCAGGCCTCTGTGACAGTGGTAATTTCTGACCCAGAGTCCACCTGTACAGGAAAAAAAACTTTCCCTCATCTTTCTTGGTAAACACACAATGCAGCATTTTAGCAAAACAGACAACTTTAAAGCTGGCTGTAACAGTCAGCCTCTTCCAGTAGTGGTGTGATGGCCACTAAAGATAGTTCCATGTCTCGTCCCTGGCTGTACATTTGGTAAGCAGGAGGGCGCTCACTGCCACCTTTCTCGATTGTAGAGGTGATGAATCTGACCGCCAGTGAACAACAGCAGGGCACAGAGCAACAGCCACAGACCACCATAATCCCTAAAAATGTAGCCACAGACACTAACAGAGAGATTACTAATGTTTTCCATTTACCAAACATGTTTGAAAATCATTCTTCTAAGGGGTTCTCACTGCCTGAGTGTTCATGCATGGTCTTACTCAGTCTTCTCAGTCCCTCCAGTGCTCTGGTCACTGATCCGTCCAGGGCAGTGTTGTTAGGGATGAAAGTACAACATTTTTCTCCAATCATAGCACAGGCTTCCCCCTTTTTGGCTAATACCATGTCCAGTGCCATGCGGTTTTGTATGGCCATCAGAGAGGCAGGTCCTAATTGCTCAGCCAAACCCTCTACAGCATCTCTCTTTTCCACAGTACATGTCGGCGTCTGCAAGCTGTCAATGCTGTTGCTGAAGGGCCAGGCAAAGCTGAATGCTTGCACACACAAATAAAGATCATACCCTCTCCAGCTGGCCTGGTGTTCTCCACATGCTATGACACTGCACAGGCTGAACTGGAAGGTGGTTGCCTCGCCCAAGGTGTAATTCAGCTTGATGCCCCCATAGTTGTATATGCAAAAATCTGTACATACTGCTGGAAGAAGTAAGATCAGGACCAGAACACTGCAGGGATTCTCCTTTTTTTTATCAACTTGAGTGCAGAGATGTCTGTTTTCTGTCTGGGCTGCCAGTTTGAACTGTACCTGTTGGTCTTGAAAAGTTATTTAAATAAATTTATGTTAATATAAAACGGTCACTTACCAATTATATGCCTGATGTGATGATTTTTTCCTCCGCCTTTTTTTTATAAGTCTGTGTACATTTCCTGTCATTAAGTGACCTTGTACTAGATGGCTGCTAAAGTTATCAGTTTTCAATCTTATACATCTGTAAAGTAACCCATATTAGTTATACATTAACAAACACACACTATCATTCATACAGCAGACACTCACTCACACTCCAACATCATTCATGCAACAAATATACATGGCATTTATAATGTTATATTTCCCTATACCTTCCTAACTAAGGTTCTTGTTTGTCCCTCAACTTATAAAAACACATTCCATCACTGCCTATTCTAAAATGCTATTGATCCCTGTCTTTAACCATAACAGCTCCATATGGTCATCTGCAGGTATTATTCTTCTAGATTCTTTCTAGGAATCATCCAAATACAGGTGTTTATTTTAAGGATTCTGCCGTATCAGAAGCACAGCACAAGAGAAACAAAAATTAAAATGCTACTCGGAGATGTATTGCTGACCAGTCTGTTTTCAGCTACAGACCTAAGGAGGCTATAATAAACAGAAACCCAAGGTCATCAACTTCTTTCGAGGAGTTGGCAAAAAAACTCCCCACAGGCACCCAAAAACCCAGTAGAGTTTTCTTCAAACTGTCACATGACCACACCTCTTGACTCTTTCCAGACGTCCAAGTTTTAACATGTTTCTAGTAAACAGCGACGGGCAATTGCACCCAGAACATCTTTCGGACTGAGCATGCTTCTTGTAAAGATTTTAACGTCAGCAAAAATGACGTCACAATTTTTACATGGGTCTTTAAACCTTCAGCCACGCTGGATCCTTTGCATGTCATCGACAAACAAACAACAATTTAAATACAGGCATTTAAATCAACTGGATGAAGCTTAAATTTTAGAGAACAATTAGTTAGTCAGCTTGCAGGTCCGGTCTTACTTTTTCCAGTGTGGTCACAAGCTTTTCTAAAAAAGTTAAATCTGGTCCTCTGGACATTCAAAAAAACAAAACAAAGCAAATCAACAAAAAAATGTAGAAACGTTTCGTCTCTCATCCGAGAGACTTCCTCAGTCTGAGGAGCTGTATTCAGCTCAGTCTCTTAAATAGCACCGTCTCAGGGTGGATCCCAAAGATCCAGTCCCCTGGCACAAACAG